AAATATGGCTTCTGCGCAAACTGGCCAGCAAGCTGCATCATGTGCCCTGTGGCGGTAAAGCCCTGGAACTTCTTCTGCGCCCCCTGGGACCCCTTGAAGGCACGAGGGTCCAGAGAGACCACATTGGCGATGGCAAACCAGCCCGTGGCATGCACAAGCTTACCCCTGGGCGCCTTTTCGGGAACCGGCAGAACCTCTTTGATGCTTGTCGTAGAGGCCTGGGACTTGGGGAGTTTGGTACCGTAGTTGGGTGGGTAGGCTCGTTGAGTAGCCGTGTCTGCATACGATTGCCACAGCCACGAGATAGCTTTGGCATGTGCCTCCTGCTGGTTAAGAGTACTCCATACAGAATCAAAGAACTCCAGTAAGATGGACATGGAGCACAGCCTGGCTAGAGTACCCACACACGCTCATTCCAGGGGTACGCGATGTGTCCATGCACGTGCTCGCACGTGAGAGTGCCAGCTCTTGTGCGCAAGGCCTGTGTTGGGCCGTCCAGCAAGTGTTTGGCTGCCGTGAGCGTGCCATTTACTAACCTCCTGTGCACACGTAACACCTCCATGTTGGCGGTGTAAAAGTGCACTGGTACCTGGCGCAACCTGGCGGGAGCCTGCAACAGCCAAGCCGTGGCCCAAGTGGCCGCCTCTGGCTCAGCACGTAACGGGGCGCGTGGGTCAGAAGCGTCCCATCCCTGAAGAGGCCCTGCAAGATAACCTATGAGGGAGATGCCAAGAGTGGTGACAGCGAGCACGCAGAAAGCCCATGCTGGATGGCAGCGTGCTCCTTCGTACAGGTAACCTCCTGGCGTAGCATCTGTGAAAATCCTGACATGGTCGATGGCAGCCTCTGGCGAGAAAGGTACCAGCTCAGCAAACGCGTCGACCGTCGATGAATGCCAATACTATGCCCATGGCAACAGATCCGTGGAAAGCTGAATTGGCCATTTCCTTTCAAACAACTTCCTTGTCTCGTGCAAGTGTGGTACAGGAGAGTCTGGAGTGTTATGGTTAGGAGGCGCATGCGAACCATGAACCGTATACCCAAGATGCATCGTGGTATACATGTTCCGAGGAGTCAGGAGGCAGATGGAAACCACCTGAACTTTGGAGGGAGTCATGCAAAATAACGGACCGAGGCGCTTCTGGCACGGCCCCTAGCTAAAAAATGGTTGGCGACACGACATTCGTTGCGGTTGGTTGCAAAAGATTATCCGCGTCACTGTCGCCGCCTGCGGCAACGTCCTCGGCCTCTTGCAGGGCGGCCGTGGCGTCCTGTGCTTCTCGCTCGGCAGCTGCTGCTGCCCCTCCTCCCAGCACACTTGCTCCATCTCGGTCTATGCGCTGGGTCTTGGCACCTGCTTGGCCACTGTCATCGTGGCGCCTCGGCGATGCTGACCTTGCTGTGCGGCGACCCTGAAGGGCAGCCGCCATGCGTTCACGACCTGCCCGTTGAGCTGCTGGCGGGAGCTGCGCGGACTTCTCCTTGCCTTTCTTAGGGGGTCGTGATGGCCTGCTGGGCGGCTTCGAAGGCGATCTGCTTGAGCTTCTGCATGTCGTCCTGCTTCTCGGTGCGCATGTTGCTGATCTCGCTCTGTATGGTGACGACCGTGGTCTGGAAGTTCTTCATGTCGTTGATGAGCTGGGCGTTGGACTGCTGGAGTGCTGCAAGCATAGCTGGCATGGTGATTTCCTGTGCCGTCGGTGCAGTAGACACTCCACCAGGAAAAACCTGCGGAGAGGGCGCTGTGGTCGGTCGCGATGTGACTACCACTTGTTCAAGTGTACCTTGTCGAGCAGCCCTTCGGCGTGGTGGTCGCGGCTGTCCCACTCTTTGGCGGACTGTGCGACGGCGCTGCCGAGGGCGCTGTCTGGCCAAGATTGAAGCGCACTGATGCGTGCTGCTCCTCGTCCACATGTTCATCATCACCATCACCATCATCATCATCATCATCATCATCATCATCATCAGCATCAGCATCAGCATCAGCATCATCTGCATCATCTGCGTCTGCATGTACGTGAACACCCGCTACGGATTGCTCACCTTTTCCAACTCCTCAAGATGATCGAGCAATTGTTCTGTTTGAATAAGCTCGTCTTGCATGGTCTGACACTGCTCCGCTACTGCCTCAAGCTCTTCCTGCAGTTGACTTTGTCGTGTCCGTGCGTCCATCAGGCGACTGCGGCATCTTGACACGAACAACTTATGCTTGGCAGCTCGATCATGTGGGGGTCTGGAGTGCATCATTTGATATGTAATGACACTATACTCCTCACGAAGGTTGTCAATCTGGTCAGAATCGAGATCCAGCTCAACTGCACAAAGAATATGCCTTTCCAATGATTCCATTGTGGAGCTGAGCGCTTTGCGATATTCACCGAGCTGCTTATGGTCCGTGGGGGGGCTCTCTCCATCTCTTGTGACTGGTGGCCATCTCCGGCGACGCTGGCATGATGGGAATGAGATCCTCCGCACCCTCCTTCGACTTCTGCTGGCTGCTGTGCTGCTGTTGCGCTGAAGCCGACCTCTTGGAAGACCCAGGCCGTGAGGAGGAACGTTGACCGGACCTGATCCGCGGGGTCCAGGTGAGACTTCCGGAGGGAGGGAGGGAGGGAGGGAGGAGGGGGAGGAGGAGGAGGGAGGAGGGAGGGGAGGAGAGGGAGGAGGAGGAGGGAGGAAGGAGGAGGGAGGAGGAGGAGGGAGGAGGGAGGAGGAGGGGGAGGAGGGAGGAGGGAGGAGGGAGGAGGGAGGAGGGAGGAGGAGGAGGGAGGAGGGACAGGGGAGAGGAGGGGAGATCTGGGCCTCCCGGGGTCGGAGTAGACGGGGTCGGAGGATCGCGCCGCATCGCCGATGCAGCTCGACGTGGGGCCCGATTCGCTTCACGTCGACGTCACCGGTGCATCGCCGACGTCGCCGATGCATCGCCGGCGCATCGCCGATCGGCGATGCAGTGGCGACGTGGCACGTTCCAGCCACTTTTCATCTGCTCGGACCACATCTAGGGGGCGTCTCAGGGAAAATGAGGGGAGGAGGGAAAGCAGCCGCAAGCTGACGGGCCGGTCCGGGGGCAAGAAGAGAAGGGGGCCGCCCGCGATGTGGATGCGGGCACCACGGCGGCGGCGCCGACCAGGCGGCGGCGCAGGCGGGAGGCTGGAGCGCGAGGAGCAGCGCGCTGCGAGAAGGAGAGAGAGAGAGAGAGGCCTCTCTCGGGCCTCCGCCCTCGGCACCCGCACGGCGCGCCCTCGCGGGAAGAGGGCACAGGCGGAGCGGAGAAGGCGTCGGGCGGGATTCTGACGCCAGCCTGCTGATGTTGCTGGATGTCATGCTCGTTCTGCCTGCGCCTGCTCGCGCGTGGCGGCCAGCGTTCGGCGTCGTGTGCTCGGCCGCGCGTGCCTGGCGAGGAGGCCGCCGCCGACCTGGTTTTAGGTCGGGCCTGTCCCTCCTACAGGGGGATCTTGGGCGAGAGATTTACCAAAAAGCATTCCCAAATGGACGAAATTAGTCGAAAAAATCGTCCCCATATTATTGTCTGACTATTTTTGACTTTTCCTCCTGTAGAGGGACAGGCCCGACTTAAAACCTGGTTGCGCCGGGCGTCGTCGACGGCTCGGGTCCAGAAAAGTACGGCACGGCTGCGCCTCGTGCCTGGGCCGCTGCCCTCTGTTCTAAACCTTGGCTTCGGGGGCTGGGGCAGGGAGCGGCTTGAGAAACTCGCTGGCGGGCAAGGAAACAGCAGGTGGGAGGGAACGAGGCCTGCGGCAACTCGGAGTCACGAGGGGGGAGCGAAGCTGGACATCCGCTTCCTCCCATCCGCGCCTCTCTCCGCGCGGACGGACGCGCGCGCTGCGGGGATTCGTCCGCGCCGCCCCCCACCCCGCTCCAACGTTGGTTTCGGGGCTGCGGCCGGAAGCGGCCCGTGACATGCGCTGCTTAGCAGCACAATAGGGAGTGGCGAGGCGGAAGCGAAGTCGGGCTCGCGAAGGTGAAGCGAAGTTGGGCCTCCACCTCCTCCCATCCGTGCCTCTCTCCGCGCGCACGCGTGCGTTGCGGGGGTTGCCCGCCGTCGTGTTC